TGGAATTCCCGACATTCCCGACATTCCCCACGCAATTCCCGACATTCCCGATGGAACTCCCGACATTCCCGACATTCCCCACGGAATTCCCGACATTCCCCACGGAATTCCCAACATTCCCGGCGTTCCCCACGGAATTCCCGGCGGAATTCCCAAAATTCCCGACGGAATTCCCAACATTCCCAACATTCCCGGCGGAATTCCCAAAATTCCTGACATTCCCAACGGAATTCCCAACATTCCCAACATTCCTGGTGGAATTCCCGACATTCCCGGCGTTCCCCATGGAATTCCCGATGGAATTCCCGACATTCCCAACATTCCCGATGGAATTCCCGACATTCCCGATGGAATTCCCGACATTCCCGACATTCCCGATGGAATTCCCGACATTCCCGACATTCCCGGGGCTCCGCTCCCAGAATTCCGGGCGATTCCCCCCAAAATCCTGCCGCTATTCCCGAATTCCCCGGGCTCCGATCCTGAGGGATTCCTGAGGAATTCCCAGAATTCCCGAATTCCCAGGGGTCTGCGGGCTCCGTTCCCAAAATTCCCTGGAAAGTCACAAAAAAATTCCCCAGAGAATTCCCAAAAAATCCCCCGAATTCCGGGAGCCGTTCCCGCTTTTCCAGGAGCTTTCAGGGATTTAATCCCTGAGGAATTCCCAGAATTCCTGCGTTCCCATGGATCCGCGGGCTCCGTTCCCAAAATTCCCGGAGAATTCCCGGAGAATTCCCGGAGAATTCCGGGAGCTTTTCCCGCCCCCTCGGGTGGGGGGAGGGGGAGGGGAATTCCCAGCTGGAAAAACGGGGGGAAAAAAAAAATCCGGGATTCGGAGGGAGGCGAAGCCGCGGGGTGGGAAAATGGGGGAAAAACGGGAAAAGTGGGAAAAAGTGGGAAAAACGGGGGAAAAGTGGGAAAAATTGGGAAAAATGGGGGAAAAGTTGGGAAAAGCTGGGAAAAATGGGGAAAAAGTGGGAAAAGTTGGGGAAAATGGGGGAAAAACGGGGGAAAAGTGGGAGAAGTTGGGAAAAAGTGGGAAAGACGGGGGGAAAAGTGGGAAAAGTTGGGGAAAACGGGGGAAAA